AATTCCATTTGAAATCTTTCCATGAAGACATATACTTTGGCCAGTCTACCATCAAAAGGCAGCTGTCAGTTCTTTCAATAGTATGCAGTCTATCGACTCGACAGTGACTGCTTCATGAAGAGTTCAGGCTCTATAATCAGGTTCTTCCAAGTTGTTCTGTCTTTTTCTCGCTGCCACCAGGTACCTTCTGCAATGTTCTTCCGCTACAGGTCTCAGGTGAAATATGAGATATGTTCCTTTTTGCTGAGGAAAATATCCTTCGTCTCGGAGAGTGTTTCATCTACGAGATGGAAATGATGTAAGTAATAAAAAGTTGTTTACGGAATACCCACATGTTCTCAAAAAGCACTGTCCTCGTTTACGTTCTCTTTTCATACTATTGCTATGGCAACGAGGTCTATTGTGGGCGTTTCATAGAGTCTTTTGATTCCCTCTGATCGGCCAGGTGATTAAGCCGTTGTTCACTCGTGGTGGAATTCTCTCCTGTGCTCACAGATGCTTGTCTCTTACGTCCTGTTGATCATACGACAACCAAATGTCAGAGTCCGACCATGGTGTATGTAAGTTAAACGGTGGAAAAGAAGGCAAACAAGAAACCATAAAAGAAAGAGCGGAGTCCTTCTTGAAATACCTTTAAAATATTAGCATTTTGTCAAGTACTAACAACAAAAGCAACATAGAGCAGAGTGAAGGATATGCAGAAAACCTTGCGGCAAAACATTGCAAGTTTAGGTTATTAATTAAAAAAGTTTTGCACTACGAATAAGGAAGATGGTAAATTTTGAGTTCGGTAGTCAAGGAGAGAAAGATGTTTTTTGTCTTGTCTCGAGAGAGAAACAAAGAAAAATTCTGAGTTCTCATGAGAAATTCAAACTCAGACCTTCGGATTCCGCGCATCGGAACATCAAAGCGCTGAATTCCGAGGGTCGGGGACTCGATTTCTTTTGAGAACTTATAATTTTTTCTTTCTTCCAAGCTCTTGACACGACGAAACTATCTTTCTTTAGTTTTGCTCATTATTTGCCGGTAAAACATTGATCATTAGAAATGTTTAATGATCCTAATAAAGCATTAGGACAATGGTACTGTTTATTTAACAATGTACTTGGCATGCACATGCCTTTGAAGACACGTCGAGTTAAAATTCAACACCGACCTGAATGGTTTTTCTGCTACAATAAGCTCTGCGATCAAACAGCGTAAAAACTTACATAGGCAAGCAATTTGGTATAATACCGAATTGCATTGGCGAGAGTATCGTCTGGCGCGCATTCAAGCTGTCCAATTAATAAGGAAAGCTAAGAGTGATTTCTATCGTAACTCCATTAATTGCAACTTATGGAAATAATCCGCAACTTAGCTCCTTCTCAGTGTTCCAATCTTCCAAGCAACCTATTGGTTGATGGAACAATTTATGACAGTCACATTGATATTGCTAACTTGTTCAATGCTCACTTTGTCAATATTGCTTCCTCAGTTGTGCTTAACAAAAACGAAAGTACGACTCCCAACTGGGATTATCTGAAGGGCTTAGTTAGGTCCAAGCTTCCACTGGGAGCTTCTTTTACCATACTTCCAATTACATCTGTCTTTGTTCTTAATAGTCTTCGTCATCTACCCACTGGAAAAGCCGTAGACTTAGATGGACTTAGTAGGTA